GCTCTATTTTGGCGTTTGAGGAACTGTACAAAGACATCGGATGCCTGGTTTATATGGCGTAATCTCAATTACTGAGAGGGCACAGCTGGGAAAATCTTGTGGGATTGGTTTTTGGAGCCCGACTGTGTTAGGAGCATAAGATCAACCCAGCCAAGCGTAAATTTTTCTTTGCGTAAATAGAATGGCACGAGTGGGCCCAAAATGTTCTATTTGACGTTTGATTGCAATCAGTGAACCAAGCCCGAACCCTCACAGACCTCTCCGTGATAGTGGTCCATGCCTCAGAGCTAACTACAAGATAAGCACATTTTCCAACATGACTGCTAGCAAGGATAAGCTGACAGTGTCATGACCCTGCCTGCAGATAACAAGTTCACTCCGACACTTCCAGCAAGTGAAATGCGATCCGCTGGCCAACGATCCGAAAGCCGTCTTAATAATATTTGAAAGTTCAGTCTTTACCTAAAAAACAAAATCCAATCACAACCATTGCAATGATCAAACATACCGTTTAGGGAGAAATCGCTGTTTATTCTGAGAATGACACAGAGCCCAGTGGTTACACTGTTGAGACATTAAATAATAAAGCAGATGGTGTATATAGTTACCACTGGGCTATAAAGTGTTAAGAGAAGTAAAACGACTGCACAAATTGAATGTCGATGCGCTGTTTTAGGGGGCTACTGGGCTCACTTGTCCAGCTTAGAGACCGGGATTTCTTTATTCAATTTCCTTAGTTCCGTAAGTCATGCTCGGAATAAAACTTGAAAAGCATCAAGGTCGCTTCCTGCCACATCCTTGCCACTTCATCACTCGCCTCATAAAAAAGTAGCTCTTTCGTCTGCATTGGCCTTTTAACAACGTGATATAAACTGAGCGCGTGATAACTGCGAATGGAGAACTGGGAAGCTTGCGGTAGTCGTGGTCTATTTAAAGTGATAAGGCTGTCTCATTAGGCGATTGGGGTGAGTGGAGGTATAGCTTCTCTCTTCCTTGACCTCGGCACTAGATGGGGGTGAGTGGTCAGCATCACGCCCCGGCCGGCTTTACCCCCGGGAAAGGACCCCGGTACCCTTTGGACAGGAGGCTGGGTGGGCCCCGGAGGAAAACATCTCTTTTGGTATATCCTGCTGATATTCAAACCCGCTACCTCGCAAATTTAAACTGAGGCGATCGGAAAAAACTGAAACATATCAGCTGTTCTGCTAAGTAGTTTGGCTTCGCGTGCTGCGGTCTGATCAGGGGCTATCATTATTTTTATCGTTCTATGTAATCATTATGATATGGTAACGTCGGCGTAGACGACTTCCTATCATAAACGCGCGTTATCCTAGCAGGATTTAGTTCATTGCTGTCCGTTTCAACTCGCTACAGAGAGTGGCAATGTTGTTCTAGAGTTCAAGGTATAACTGCTGGCTCGTTCTTTCCGCCCCCCACTGCGGGAAGCAGACGGTTGTGGGGGCTCCAAGTGTTCCGGGTGAGGTACTCCGGCGAGTCCGTTCACACATAAGCTATTCTGTCTAATTATGGAAAGTATGCAAGTTCATAATTACACATTTTCCATTACTACAAACAAACAAAATTTCTGTTGATAAAATTTATATCAAGTTCAGTTCAGAAGCATTTGTCTTCCCGTCTGCTACATATACGAGGTGCGATCGGAAAGTTTCAAGACTGCGCGTATAAAAAAAAAAAAAAAAAACCCGTACACTTATCTCAGGTATTAAATTCATCCATCACCCTGGATTCCTCACACTTAGTGGCTTCCGCGCCCAGAAAATCATGACTTCATGAAAAGTTTCCGTTATTGTTACCTGATTTTAACCTAAATTAGAATGTGCCGACAATTTTTAGTAAAGGCTCTCGGTATGAAATTTTGAGAAAATTACTTAAACGGATATATACTTTCTTCTTGACAACAGATAAATATTGCGGTTTTATAGAATGACTATTGCAAACGTTTGTTGAGAACGTGCCAAACAATTAATAAAATCTATCAGGACACTTACAAGTCGAGTATACAGCCAAATCTCGTGACGAAATTATCTAGGGTTTACATGTTTCTAAATGCTAGAACGTTATAGAAAATAGTAAGTACTTACGTAGACGGCAGTCTGAATCCCAAGCAGCCCACGGTCCTAGCAACTGGCAAATCATCGTCTGTCGGAGAAACAAACTGTTTCTGGAATTTCTTTGGCATGTCATAACCATCTCTGGCCGGGAATCTGCAAACATAAGTTGAATAATATATTAAGATAATACTTTATCTTACGTTCCCAGTATCAATAATATTCCCAATATATTATTAACATTTAATTCAGCTTCACATCCGAAAATCTAAACTTTTAGGTGAGATTTTGGATTCTAACAACGGTGAATAGGAAGATGACTGTATTCTGGGATGTTAACTTCTGCCTGACTACAAGGTGCAACATCCCAGAACAAAACATTTAGTTTTCCAATCAAAATTACACATGTATTTATTTATTTTCCTAATGCGTGTCACATGCTTCATCTACCTCGTAAGTCTTGATTTAATGAAGCCTTCGTTATTTTAATTTCTCTATTCACAATGTTACGTCATCAATCTCACGATTAAATATTTCCTTCAGAATCTTGTTGCAAACAATTCCGACGTTTCAATGGATCTTTCTTCCACCACCATCACCCTGATGATGGCGGTAGTAAGAACCTCTGAAACGTCGGTAAACGTCTACTAGCCTATGCGGGGCAACAACCCAGACGACTTGCCGTCAGAACCCGAAATCTCACCGATTCGTTTTCGTGCAAAGTTTCTAGTGGTGTCATCTATCCGGATTAAAAAGGAAATAATTTATTTGTTGGGAGCAGTCCTACATGTGAAGAATTTATATTAGTGACGTCTCTTTCCTCTATAATTAATAAAGTCTTGTCTCAATGTCTCGGATAATCTATGTATAAAAATATAATATTTTAATCGTGCAGGAGTTTTTAAGCCACAAAGTTTCTGAAGTTGGGTCTACTTCTGTCTACAGGCAAGAAGCGATCAAATGCCTAACCTGTTTGGCTCCTTCTTACAGCTAGTCTCAAAACAAGATAAGATTAAGAAAAATTAATTAAACACACTTTGTTAAACTACAGTCAGAAACTTTCAAATTTCGATTAAATTTTTAACTTTACTAAACACTCATATAAACGAAGCATAAATGCATGACATGCCATGACGTTCGGTGTTGGTGTTCAGTTATATTTAAATACGTGTTCAAACATCTACAGTAGATGAAGTGTCGTTAAATAAACTCGTATATTCATAATCGTACAATAGGCATTTTCCAGGGAAAGGCTTTGTTTATTAAGCAATAATAATAACTAACAAAGAGACTTAATATCATAAGGTACCCAATATTTACTGAGTAAGCTTAAATTATATGCATTAAAACGTCTTCTTATTCTCATTCCTAAGACGTTTCGCTTTTGTGGCTCGTCTGGTCAACATCAGCCTCCCCCAATCTAAGACCAGTGGTCTGTTACGGTAACAGTCCAGTATTTGTAGTCTCTCCTCAAACATTCCTAGTCCATTTGGTTGGTAATGGAGAATTAGAATGAGACTTTTAGGCGGAGCATTCAAAGAACAAGTTTCTTTCCAGTTAGCTCTGTAATTCTTCATGAATTCCATGACTGCCTGTGTATTTGATTCCTTTATGTCCAATTCGGTTTGTAATCCAAGAGAGAAAACGTATCTGCTCTCCTTACGAATATAATTTCTGTTACCGTGAATCTCTTTTAATCTCCTTTATATATAGTCCAAGCTTCGCTGCCATTAATTCAACACAATCTTATAAACTATAATTCTGAATTAATCTGATTTAATTTATTTATGTATTGAAATAGACTATTCAAATATTTAACGTTCCGTTATCTTACACAAACAGAAGATTCACAATCATCGCAGAATCCAACGACTAGAACATAAACCAACCAATAAAAATCACAATTTTTTCCTAGTCACCTCAATTCAGTTCTTTTTCTCTAAAATATATAATAACGATCTCCGTTAAGAGATTATTTCCATGTAGGAATCGGGCAGAAATGTTGTATGTATTAATCTCATTCATCTAGTATTTAAATCCACTTAAAAATATTAAGGTAATTGTAATTTGCCCTTTGAATCTCAAACCTCATCTAAATGATATTTAAAGGTTCAGTTCCTACCTCCAGTACAAAGAACAGTTGGTTAATGCCTACAATGATCTTTCTCTGGGTTGTGACATCATGTGGACTCGTAGGCATATACCAATGCTTCTGTAAAGCATACTGTCTCTATTGAAAACTGCTGATTTTCTGAACTTCAACCATCATTTAATATTCTAAAACAAGTCCGGTAATGTTCTGTAGCTGGCTCTCCTCCCATTTTCAGGTGAAAATGCCGATTCTGTTCAGTTCAAAATATTTTGTCCTTCCGTCTTATTTCTAAGAACCTGAATATTAAAACATACAAAACAATAATTTTGCCTGTTGTTTTTAATGGGTGTGAAACATGGTCTCTCACTCTGAGGGAGGAACACAGATTGCAGGTGTTTGAGAATCGGGTGTTGAGGAGGATATTTGGGCCTAGGAGAGAAGACGATGGGGCGTGGAGAAAACTGCATAATGACGAACTTAAAAATCTGTACTCCTCACCCAATATTGTCAGGGTGATTAATTCCAGAAGAATGAGATGGGCTGGGCATGTAGCGCGCATGGATGGGACAAGAGGTGTGCATCGGGTTTTGGTTGGGAAGCCTGAAGGGAAGAGACCTCTGGGGAGACCTAGACGTAGATGGGAGGATAATCTCAGGAGGGATCTATGGGAGATAGGAGTTGAAGGAGACTGGATTTTGTTGGCCCAGGACAGGGTCCGGTGGAGGGCTTTGGTTAATTCGGTGATAAACCTTCGGGTTACGTAAGCCATCTAGTAAGTTCGTTAGTTACTTAGTTAGTCCGCTAGGTAGCACTGGGTGTCAATTTGAACACAACGTCTATTTGAAAATAGCCTGGCGCATATTATGAAAATTTTCACTACACCACAATTTGACCCGTTCGTTAGCCGATCTGACAAGTGCCACATCCTTCCACTGACCGGCATGCAAAACAGTAATTGTAAGGTAAGAAGCTACATAACTCACAAAATCTGATTAGTACATACCATTGCCGCTAGAGTGCTGTGAAAGAACAACTTAAATACATTAAAATTCCCGTCACGGTTTGGATGTACAAATAAAATCCCCAACCTATACACAGCGATTCCATTACACTGCAGTGGTAGGAGTGAGTGGACGAAATTTTAGCGGCCCCCGTGATTTGTTGCGACAAGTTTTCTCGTGTTCAGGTGGCAATTTATTCCTCATCCCCGGCTCACAAATCTCCCACTTGATATCCACAGTAGCTGCTAGTCCTGGGAGAAGAAACAGCTACAGCTTAATGAATAACATGTGGGAACAAGCACTGCATTTCTTTACTTTAACGTGCCTTTCCTGTAATGCGAGATTTGCTACACAGATAGCAAATAAGTATGTCACTTAGGGTTGTAAGGTTCATGTACCACATATTGGGAGATACAAAATTATATTCGG